CTCGCACACACATGCACACTCGCGCACATTCACACACACACACACTGACACACACACACTTTAAAATAAAATTATAAAATCTATTAATTTAAAAATTAAGTAATATTTAATTATATTATTATTAATGCATCAACTAAATGCTAATATAATACAAATTTAAATAATACAACATAATTATATAAAAATAAAATTATTAATACTATTATTGTTTATGTATATACCCATAACTTTAATAAAATAAAATATATTAATTTAAAAATAAAGTAATATTATTAAAATGATTAATAAATCAACAAAATATTAAAACAGCACAAATAAATTACAATGAATTAAACAATAATATTTTAAAATAACATAAATATAATTACTATTATATTAAAGACATTTGTCAGACAGTTTGTACAGCATCTTACCAAAAGTCTTTAGTAAATATTAAATCCTAAGATGATTACACGAAATATGTTAGTGAGAAACTCAAGATTGCAAGATATGTTCAAAAAATTCAGTGGTTTAAGTTTTTCAGAGTGATCATATGTTCTTTGGTTCTCTCTTCAGTTATGACACAGACCTGCAGTGCCCTTTGCCGCCGTCGCGTATGTATCTGCAACCTGACGAGCTAGAAGAGGAGGAGGAAGAGGTGGAGCTGGAGCGTGGACCTACACCGCCCATACGGGGAGCTGCTTCCTCACCTGCCGCTGTGTCCTACAGTCACCAGTCCACCGCGACCCTCACCCCGTCCCCTCAGGAGGAGATGCAGCCCATGCTGCAGGATAACCCCGACCTACACGAGCGCAGGTAAGCCAGCTGCAACAGCTAGACAATGCTTTTCTTTTTAAACCATTTCCAGTTTGTTACATTTGACGTCTGTCATCCTCCATTAGGCGACTCTTGGTGAGCCCACCCCCTCCACCACGCCCCCTCTCCCCTCCGCACACGTACGGCTACATATCCAGCCCCCTGGGTCTGGACACGGACGGCCTGGAGGAAGAAGAGGACGAGGAAGAGGGTGACGAGACGGATGCGGAGGTGGCTCGAGTCCACCAGCTCCACACCCACCCTCACCAGCAGCACTTGCCCCAGCAGAGGGCTCTCCTGCGGGGCCTGGAACAGACCCCGGCCTCCAGCACCTGTGACCTGGAGAGCTCTGTCACCGGGTCTATGATCAACGGCTGGGGCTCAGCTTCAGAGGAGGACAACGCCTCATCGGGTCGTTCCAGCGCCGTCAGCTCATCGGACGGATCTTTCTTTACCGATGCTGATTTTGCCCAGGCTGTAGCAGCTGCGGCCGAATATGCTGGTTTACGAGTGGCAAAGCATCCTGGGAAAGGCCACCATCAGCTTCCAGTGTCTGGAGGTACTGGAACGTGTATATGCTTTCTTAATAAATGTTCCTGATGTTAATGTGTGTAATTAAAACAGGCCTAACAATATAAATCTACTCCTGAATCCATTTTTATGAACAAACTCAATCCCAGCCTGTATCATTTTCCACAGAATATTCTGTTTCACTTGGACATTATGGAAGATATGGAAGTGTCCCACCAAAATTTCCTAATATTTGCTCATGAAATTAAATGATAATGGTTTTAAATGGAGACACTAACTGTAACGCTATACATCCTACAGCAGCTGAATTAATTTGTATTTAAATCTGCGGCCTTTAATAGAGCTGAACTAAGCAAACCCTCTGTCCTCTAATTTGCCAGCAGCACGGAAATACCAAAACCTCCCTGTGGGACACCGTCCAGGCAGCCCAGTGTCCACAGACAGTAATGTTAGTGCAGCCCCGGGTCAGAGGAGGCCTCTAAAGAGGCAAAAACAACATCCAGCTGCTCAGACAGGCTATCAGCGCCGAGAGGCCTACTCAGAGGGTACGTCCACACACAATTCTGCTTTCTGTACACTGTCATTAGGGATGGGCATCATGAATACTAAATACTTATCTACCTTGTTTGTTTCATTTAAATATATATATATATATATGAAGAGTTCATTTGCAAAAACCAATAACTGTTGTTGTTGTTGTTGTGATCATAAACTGTATGGATGTGATTACACGCAATACACAAAGCTTTTCCCTCACCATTGTAACGCGCTGCTTTTGCAAGGTTCCGTGAAAACGTTTCAGCTTTTATTTTCCTTTTTCGCCCTGAAGAAGATATCACAGGTTCATCAAGTTCGTGGAAATTATCCATCCTCGATCACTTTTAGTCAGCTTTGACGAAACTCCTCTCAGCTAGCACGTCTTTTCAAAGTGAAAGTAGCCATGTCACCTGACCTGAATACAGCGCGCTGATTCGCTAAAATGGACTTATCGGCTTCTGTTCAAAAACAACAAGGGTGCTTGTCGGCTTCTGCAGTAAAACGTGAACTCGCGATGCCTTGAAATTGGACAAAACCGGCTTTTTTGACAAAACGTGTTTAGGGTTCAGATCGCGTTATATGTGAAGAATAATGCACGGCAATCAGCATTTTTTTTTTTTTAAGTGCCGTTTATCGGTTTTTGCAAATGAACTCTTCATATATATATATATAAAATGCAAAATATTACAATTTATATTATAAAAAAATAAGAAGAAGAATGTTACCAAACATGTTATAATTTAATAATTTGTAATGATAAAAATAGAAAATATATAATTTATAAATTACAAAATAAATGTAAAAGTAAATTAAATAGTTAATGAAAAATTATTAAAAAAGAAACAATAAAATGTTACCAAACAATGTTACTATACATTAATAAAATGTTTAAGAATATTACAAATTTATAATATACATTATACTATTTTTGGTAACATTTTAAAAGTTTTTATTGTCACAAATATTATAAATGTTTTTATATAAATTACAATATTTTGGTAACATTTTACTAGTTTATTTTTTATTATTTCTTAATTGAATATTACATTTTAATTTATTTAAATTGCATTGTCTTATTTATTTATATTTTTTTTACAAAACTCATCTCATGAGCCTTAAATACACACAAAAAAATTCTAAGTACATAAACAGCTTCTCGGAATGATTTTTAGACTAATTCAAAACGATAACTTATAAGTGCAACACTAATCTGATGTCTTTTTGACAAGTTCATTAAAACCATTTATTAACAAATTGGACCGTACTGTCCTTGGTTCTTGATTCCCAATCCTTGTGATTCATTAAACATGGTGGGTATTAGGGATGTAACAATTAACCGCGAGCCGGTTGAAAATCAATTCAAATATGTGACGATTCAGATCGGTTGAGATGCTAAACAAATCGCGATTTTTATTTGTGTTACTTATTTATTTGATTTGGGGCTTGTTTTAAAATTTCTATTTAGTTTTGATATTTACATTCTATTTAAATTTTGTCATTTAGCAGACGACAATAGAAGCAATCAAAACCAACAAAAGAGCAATAATATGGAAGTGCTATATTAGTGTATTATTATAGTGTTATATTTCAATTTCACAAAGAAACGTGCAGCATTTGTCCAAGCAATAATAAAAGGACACATTTAATTTATAATTTGTCTTGAATCTCAATTTGTTAAAAAAAAAAAGTGAATCGAATCGTGAGTTGAGCGATTCGTTACATCCCTAGTGGGTATGCATTCATATAAATATTGATACAAATATTTATAAAATCTAAAATCTTGATTAAAAAGTCCACGGATATGGTATACATGGTAACACACAAGTATGCGTCTTTCAAACATTTAATCTTACATATATGGAGCAGGATCATAAAGAGCGAGAGGAGATGGAGAGGTCAGTCTAATGAAACTGCAGCAGGTGCCAAAGCTTCACTGAAGAGCTCTCAGAAGCCTTCAGAAAGGTCATGTGTGTGAGCACTTCCTTTTGCAGTTCCACACGCATAACGCGTCCAAACTTTCTGCTCACATTTGCACGAGTGTGTATTTGTGCACACGTTCTCATCTGCTGCGTCTCATCGAGTCAGTTGTCCTCGTGTGTTGACACTAAGATTTAATATCAGACACACACAGGCCTTGGTTGGCTCTATCAGATCAACTAGCCCCTCTCATCTGTCCTTCACCCCCTTCTTCTCCGCTCTCTCTCTCTCATCTTTGTTCGCTGTTGGCTGCTGAAGAGACCCAGATTGATCAGTCTGTGTCAGCTCAAGTTTCTGTTGAATGTGTGATTTGATTTGATAGGCCTTCCTCGAGTTATGTTGTGTGGGAGGGTTAAATACAGCGTTTCGCACGGAAAAGGAGGAGGTGGTTGTGGTTTGAATGCATTTCACATAAACGCACTCAAAACGAATGATCTGAAACACAGATTGCCTACCAACCCCCCCAAATACCACGCGTCAAACACGCACTCCCCCCGCCTCTGTTAATTTTGCTCTTGTTTGCTCAGTGCTTTGGGTGACACCAGGCTTATTATCTCGTCCTCCTCTCCAGAAGGCCCTGTTAACCTTTCATCTGCCTCCACTTCTGTCTGGAGAGAAAAGAGACAGTCTTTTCCAGACGTTCTTCTCTCTATCTTTGTCTTAGTTTGCTCTTTTTGCAAGTTTCTATTAGAGGTTTGTTTTCAGATTTCAAGAAAAGTTTTCTGCAGGAATGCTAAAGGATGTCTTTGGTTATCAAATGTTTTGAAGCAAATATGAGTTTGAAAATGTGTAAAGCGGCTGAAAAGAAACTGGTTAATATATGCAGGTTGAAGAAATGTCCATGTCTAGAGATAGCTTTAACACGCAGACTAAAAAACAACCACCGGCAACAGTCTAAATGTAGCCCGATTCTGCAGGAAATCTACAGACTTGGCAACACTGGTTGGTTGACAAGAATTCTGTTTCTTTTCACTGCAGCCAGGCAAAATGAAACTTTAGAAATAGGCTATAAAAATAGGTTGCATGTCCCTGTTTGAATAGTGTATGTTAAGCAATTCATAAATGTATACATTTTTATAAATTAAAATTTAAAGTAAATTAATTTATAATAATTTATGAAAAAAAACCTAAATGTCAAAATGATACCAAAATTACAATTTACATTAAGTCAAATATTTTCTAAGAAATAATAATTAAAAACAAATCATAATATATATATATATATAAAAACAAACTTATGTTTTAAAATGTATAACTGTTTGAATGGCATGTGTATGTTCAGCAGTTTGAGTTGATTTAAAAATACCATTTCAACCATTAATTTTTATAAATAGCTGATGCATTTGCAAAGACCTACGCTACGGTTCAAAAGTTCGGGGTTGGAAAGATTTTTTTAAATATGATCACCAAGGCTGCATTTTTTAAAATCAAAAATACAGTAAAAACAGCAATATTGTGAAATATCACAATTTATAATAATTTTCATATATTTTAAAATTGTATTATTCCTGTGATGCAAAGCTGAATTTTCAGCATCATTAGTCTACCATAAAATAAATAAATAAATAAATAATAATACTTACTGACACCAAATTTTTGAGTGCAAAAAAGCACTCGTAAGCACTAAACATCAATCATTGATATCACACCAAAGCAAGAAAGGCCGTGTTTTACACTACTGGTAATTTCACGGCAACGCAGGAACTACTCACGCAAATAAGGACAGCAGAGCTAGCTGTTGTATAAAGCAGAGAGCCCTCCCTCACTCGTCCACCCTTCTCATAAATCTAACAGCTCTCTTCTGCTCCTGTGAAATGCGCCCCGTCTCTCTCACCCTGGCATCGATTCGCCGCCTGACTTCTACAAGACACCACAGGGCTTATAAAAACCATCCACGTCCACTGACCCTTCTCGTATTTTGCTGAGTGTCAAGAGCAGTGATGAAGGAGCACTAAGATCTCCCCGACAAAACGAGGCACGTGCTCGGTGAAGACGTCAGGTGTGCTTTGACCTTGAACGGGTAAAGATGTTGACGCAGCACCCGAGCACCAGTTTCGCACGTTTTAAACTAGTCAACAAAGAGTCTTAGTGACGCAATGTTTGCGTAACGTGTATATTTGTGACTGGCGCCTATTGGGATGTCATTTCATATGCATGTTGATGTGAAATTGAATAAGGTTTCAGCATTTCTGGCACAACTTTACGAGATCCGTCACGCACAGAGCTCGGATGACTTTTTTAGCCGATGCCATTTAACAAGAACGGGAATTGTAAACAACCCTGAATAACTGGCACGGGAAGCATGGAGACATCCAGTGACAGTGATGAACCGTCATTCACAGTTTCTCGACTGACTAGCGGTGCCACGGTGGGAAAGAGCTCCAGCGTACAGCTGTGTTTCCATGGCACCTTCCGGGTGCCAGACAAATGAGTTCTGGTGTCAATTAGCTGAATGTCTGGTTCTGAAGGACACTAGCATGTGTGAACATCCACCTTATTTTGCAATGCAGAAGTAAGCTATTTTCTGTAAATGTGCGAGACTTCTGATTCATTAGCCACTAAATAACTAGAACAATAACTAGATGCAGTAAACTGCGCTACAAACCAATGCATTTATAATTATGACAATGCATTAACCCCCCGTGTCAATTTAAAAAAGCTACATAGAGGTCTGTCAAAAAATTATCATAAAAATTGATTTTTTTGCCTGCTTTCACTAACATTTTTTTTTAACCAACGGCCCTGATCATAACTACCAAAAATTCATTCATTTTCAGGATTTTAACTTTTTTAATCCATTTTTTTTATGCATTATTATTTTTGTGCCGTGTCAGATTAAATATATATACACACATTACAAACACAAATTTCTCAGTACACATACAAACTACACTCTGATATCCATACCAATAAACCTACATGATTATAATTACATAACTTCAATTCAGTTTGCTTTTTTTTTCAGCTGTAAAAAAACAGTAAAAGAGAGTATTTGCTCCATAGGCCAAACCTGAGGAAAGCGGTGCCATCAGGTGGAAAATAGTACAATTTTAATTTTTTTAATAATTTTTGAAGCCTTGCCTAAGAATGCATGATTTTATGCTTAAATGGCACTGTGAATAAACGTTGCTGTTTTTATGGATTTTAATAGGAACATATATTCCTTATAGTCCTTAATTTAACTTTTTATATTGTAAAAAATATTTTTTATAGGTTAACTTTATTTTTTTCAAAATGTATATATTATATTTTTAATATAATTTTACTTAACCTTACCTTTTTTTGTATCAGATTTGTGAAAGGACAATTTCAATAAAAACTGGCTAAATTTAGGCTGTTTGCATCAACACAGCCAAAATGATCAAAAAAAAAAAAAACTCCCTAAGGACGCATATGGGTTAAAATAATATGATAACAAACACCAGTTTATAATATCAAGCAGTATAGCTAAAAATAACAGATGATTCCGCACATTCAAGTTACAAATGGCCGCACCCGCTCTTATGTTAAAAATAAGGTGGATGCATTCACATTCACACAAAATAATTTCTTTTCTTTTTGTTTCCTCACAGATCTTCCCCCTCCTCCGATTCCTCCTCCAGCCATGCTGAAGTCTCCAACTCACCCGGCCAAAACCATCCCAGAGGGCCCACGGGGGGCCATGTCGCCCAGATCCAGTTCTGCTGATGGCAAGGACAAGCGAACGGGTTCGGGCGGACCCAGACCCCGGGATGGCTCGGACACTCGGACCAGCTCTTCAGAACGGCGGGAGGGCCAGGATGTAAAGAAGGGTCAGAGAACGGGGAAAAGCAACAAACAAGATGCCGGTGCAGGCCATAAGAGCCGCCAACACCCAGGTACTGCACTACAGTCCTGTTTTCTCACCTTAAATACAGTGGTAAATAATGCTCAAGTTACCTACCTTTCATTTTCATGTCTTTCAGGCTCAGAGGACATCCTACCTTATAGTCGCCCATCTTTCCCAGGCGTCCACAGTCCTCGTGGAGAAAGGGACCCCAGCTCCTCCAGTTCACTGTCCTCTCGAGGATCCGGTGGACGGCGGAGAGGTGAAGGGGCCCGCAGAAACCCTGCAGATTTTGGGCTGAACACCATAGGAGCCTTCCAGACAGGAGGGGAGGAGCTTGAGGTGCATTTTTACTTCTAACATACCTGGAAATGAGAGGAATACTTGATTCTGATTGGTCAATAGCAATCTGTGGTCAACCATATTTATATAGTGACGGCGAAACTGGTTTGCATCTTGTCCGATTACACAGAGCACCGTTATTTTGAGAATCGTATGATGTATTGTTGTTAATTTGGTTACTTAAATCTGAAATGAAAATGAAAAACTAAAATTAGTTGCCATTTCAGTTAGTTGCCAAAGCAACATTTCTAATTTCTGTTTAAGCAATAAAATGACAAGAAAAAAAGAAATTGAAATAAACATTTTGGTAACACTTTACTTAAAGCCTTTGTGTAATGTATTATAAAGGGTATATACATTATAATTATTCATAATGTGCGTTGTAATACATTATATCTTGTCGTAAGTAATTATAACTGAATTTAAAAAGCATAGTGTAACAATGAATTGATAAGTGTTGTTACAATAATGAGATTGTACAATGCATTATAAGGTGCATTACAAGGCATAATTAATGCATTAAAATACTTTTATAATGCATTATACACAAAGGCTTTAAGTGTTACCAACATTTTTGACAAAAAAATTAAAAATGAAAATATATGAAAACAGAAATTAGAAATGTTGCCTTGTCAACAAACTGAAATAAATGTTTAAGTAATACAAAGGCAAAAATTAAACAAAGATAAATAGAAATATATAAAAAACTGATAAAAAGCTAAACAAAAGCACACATAAAATTACAAAAACTGAAAAATTTAAACTGAACTTATAAAACCTAATTCTAAACAAATACTGTAATATTATAACACTGGTGTTACTGTGCTTTTTGTATGGTACATATTTAGTTTCATTGTATGATGTTTGCTATAATGCTTCAATCTTTTCTTTTCAGATGGTGGAGAGCTGAAGATAAAAATACGGCTGTCAAATGTTCCTCAGCAACCATCTTCAGCACAGTTTGACCATCTCGGCGGTATCTTTTACTGAAAACTACCGACATAGAGTCACGTTTGGAAAACTGACCAACCATTCTTCATTTATTTACCTTAATTTTCGATTGTGCATTTAAAGAAGAAAAGACAGAAGAAAAACAAAGGGTGCATTTGAGAGGGGCTAATGCAATTTTGTTTTGATTCCAATGCAATATGACGTATCCGTTAGCTCCTGAAACTGATTATGGCTTTGTTCACCTTGGCGAGAAGGTTGTCAGTCAGCTGTTACTGTAATGAAACTCCAGGCACAAAGGGACTGACTGACTGACATGTACATACACGTGTATACACATCTAACTGTCTTTTATAATCCATTGTGGTACATTAAATTTGTCTTCCTCTGTTTATTTGAATAATTTTTAAATTACGCCGGTTAATATAATTTTTTTTTTAATAGCCGTCATCCTGGTTGTAAATTTTCATAGTGTTTAAACTGCCCCAGGAAAAGTGCCACATTTGGAAAGTTATTGTTTGTTTTTTAATGCACTGTTATTATTTTTCTCATTGTCGATGTTTGTTGTTCTATGTTTGACTTTGGTTTTAAAAGCACAATCACTAAACTTTATTTTGAACCATGTTATCGATTAACCTTTTTGTCTTACCGAGGGGAGCGTGGACGGTACGGCAAAAGGCCTCGTTAAACCTGTTGATGTAGGGTTATGAGAAAAGAAAATGAAAAAGGATAAGCTGTTTACAAATGAGTGAATGAATGGAAACGAATCCCTTCATCCTTACCTTCGGTGTCTTTTCCAGATTCTCATTCCAGCTCAAGACATCCTGCAAAAATGAAATATACAGGAATTAATGCAGGGATGTTATGTTTACGAAAGTATTGCTCCACCTGTGCACTTTCGTTATTATTAATAAAAAATAAAAAAAACATTTCGATTTACATATGCACTTAACAGGAAGTGGGTGTCGGTTTGAGAATCTGGGGTGGTTGTGATTGGCCGGCTGAGAACCTGGCTCTCGTGGGTTGGCTGTGACAGTCACGATCTAAAAGTGGTGAGGATGTGAGTGTTAATTCATTTGACATCTGCAAGCGTTTGTTTGGTAAAACAAAAAAGCATATTAAAAAAATGAAGAAAAAATAAAATCAAAATACTGAAACTGACCTGCTTGTTTTGTGATTGATACATTTTGTGACACTTGAACCCATCACCTACGACACAAACCTGACCCTAAAAAAAAACAACCTTAGCTTAAAGGGTTAGTTCACCCCAAAATGAAAATTCTGTCATTAATTACTCACCCTCATGTCGTTCCAAACCCGTAAGACCTTCGTTCAAATTAAGATATTTTTGATGTATTTGGAGAGCTTTCTGACCCTCCCATAGACAGCAACGCAACTGTAATAATCCCAGGTCCAGAAACGTAGGACATCGGTAAAACAGTCCATGTGACATCAGTGGCTTAACTTCAATTTTGCGAAGCTTCGAGAATACTTTTTGTGCGCAAAAAAACCCCCACTTTATTCAACAATTCTGCTCCCCGAGTTACGTCTTCCGCCATTTTGGAGAGTATCACAACGCATACGCATGCTTTACCCTAAGCGTAACAACTAGGGCTGGGTAAAAAATATCGATATCTCTATTTTAATCGATTCTCATTTTTACGAAACGATATCGATTCTTAAATCCCAAGAATCGGTTAGTCTAACTTAATGGACGGAACATTGAAGGGCATCTCCCATCCAATAAATCGCAATAAGCATTGTGCTTTGGTAATTTTAATATGAAATAAAGTCTCAGATTTCAATTTATGTCCATTGTATTGCAGTATTTAAACAATAAATGCCGTTTTGGCGCTGTTTAATGTGGAGTGACAGATCGATAGCGCCTCAATTCAACAGACGCGGCAGCGCGAGGCGCACGTGACCCGATCATCTCCTCCACATTAATACCAGTTTCAGCACAAAATTATCATCCGATAATAAACATCCGAAGGCAAGTTAAAAGAAAGAGTACAACTTTACAATCCGTATCCGGTCTCATGTAATCGCTCAAACAGTGTTTCAGCCACGCAAAGACGTCAATATAACAGCTTGTAAACAATTAATATAACATCACATTTACCTCGAAAGCATATTCGGTGACCATAAACTCGTTAGTAAGCTAAGTTAGAAAAATAAACTGTAGAGAGGGGCATTTTGCTAAATATATGCACCATATAACATTCATTATATATATGTTTTACTGTTCTTTAATGTTTTATGTTTGAATAAATCCGTCTAAGTTATGACAGCCACTATTTAAATGTGTATATTTAAAAAAAAAAACTAACTGAATTGTAACTTAATTATTATAAAAACTTCATTAAGTGCAATTTAAGAAGTTGTACAGCACAAATCAGTCAATTTTAACCTTCAATATTATAATGTGTAGTACCAACAGACTCATGTATATTTTTGACAGAATTGTCATTTTTGGGTGAACTATCCCTTTAACCTTACCACTGTGGTCAGTGAAAAAATTTCATAGGGCCAACAACACACAAAAACATTAGCATAGCATAGGTTGAATAAGAAAATGCTTAAGTTGAAAGTTTTATAAAAAATAAAAACTATACTAGCCGTAAAACACTATATACTTTGTTATAGCCATATTAGACTAATTTGTAATATTGCCTTTGACATTAACACAAATGATATGGGAAGCATTTTCACAGCTCTTTTAAACATTGATATGCCTATTTATTTTACTATTCCAACTATGTAAAACTACATATGGTTAGATGAATTTTAGTATTTGCATTGAACATTGTTTTAACTGAATAGAGTCCCTGTGTTCCCAATTTTGTTGCATCCATCTAGGGCTGGAAAAAAAATTATAAATTTTTTTCCCATATCAGTTGATATCAATAATTATAATAAATGAAAAATCTTTATTTCTTTCAAGTTTAAAGGCAAGTTTATTTCTTTCAAGTTTTTGCTCCTAAATGAAAGCAGACCATCAACTGTGGTTTTAAACTATACTTCTTTATGGTCAGAACATGACAAACACTTCACGTTTTTGAGTTATTTACACTTTTCCAGTCATTTTGCCTTAAAATAAATATCTTAATAGAAAAATGTATTTCTTTGTTTCTGCATGTTCTAATGAGTGATATTGTTTCAAATCATGAAACGGGTTTGTGTTGCCCAACTTTGACGACGAGCATCTTTAGCACACTTTGCAGTGCAGGCTGCAATATTAATATTAAATTTTTTTCTTGTAGAAATGCACATCTGACAGTAGCTTGACATGCAGATGTACATTTATGTTCATTATCAAAAACAGTAATCTGCAAAAACTGTAACAACCTCATTTTTATATGGTGAAGTTTAATTATTCTGTTTTATTCAAATTAATCATTGGTCTACCATAGTAGCCTAGCATACATTTAGATCATGATAACCACAGTTAAAACCACAAATATAGCACCTCAACACCATGGTAAAAATTTTACTATTTAGTTTCTAGGTATTTGTATGAAAAACAGTAGTATAAATACATTTAATGTAAATGCACAAACGCTATAGCTCAATCTTGGTTTTGTTCCGCTTTTGGCGCATAAACATTATATCGGACAATTATCAAACTCTTGGTATCGTTTTATTGAGGAAAATTATATCGCGATAATTATCGTTTTATCTCCCAGCCCTATCTCCCTTTTTTTTTTTCTTTTTACATAAGAATAAAGGTCCCCTAATAAATGTGTCTGATCAGAACCCAAAGCCAGCCTCATTATATCAGGCCTATTAGTCATGTAGGCAACCCGCCGACAAGTCGATTTTGTGAAGGTATAGTTTGCAGCGCAACCTTTATAGAGAGCCACTGCACCATGACAACTATATACATGCTCCATTTGAAAATCCACAGACAAATATTGGGACATACAGAAAGTAAAATGTCAAACACATGCCTTCTCCTGTGCATCTGCCAGGCGTCTTGGTTGCTGTCAGAAAACGAGAGCAGTTCCCCACAGGTGTTCCCCTATTAAACACCTTTTAAACGAGAACAAATCTGGAGCAACCAAGAGCTTCCCCTCTGACTCGATCCATCATTTTAATGAGCTAAGGTGTGTATGCGGTGCACAATGAGGCACAGGTGATTAAACACAGACACTGACTGTGCTGCTAATATTATGAATATATGTGACCCTGGACCACAAAACCAGTCTTAAGTCGCTGGGGTATATTTGTAGCAATAGGCAAAAATACATTGTATGGGTCAAAATTATTGATTTTTCTTTTATGCCAAAAATCATTAGAATATTACGAAAAGATCATGTTCCATTAAGACATTTTGTAAATTTCCTACTGTAAATATATTAAAACTTAATTTTTGATTAGTAATATGCATTGCTAAGAACTTCATTTGGACAACTTTAAAGGCGATTTTCTCAATAGTTTGATTTTTTTGCACCCTCAGATTCCAGATTTCAAATAGTTGTATCTCATATGAAATACAAAATAGTTGTATTTCATATGATGTATAAATCTCAATTTCGAAAAAAAATTGACCCTTATGACTGGTTTTGTGGTCCAGGGTCACATATGTATACTAGAGATGACTGACTGTACATCTCGGTCATTATTATAAGACGACTTTCAGTATCTGACAACTCTGGGTCAATTGCCAGTCCCTCATTGCTATCAAATACACAGCCGTTAGTTTCACCAAACTCAGGCTGAAAAAGAAAAGGTCTCATTTATTTGAAAACGGCATGTACTTGACTAGAAATTGCAAGCTTTGTTTTTTTCATAACATAAATGGAGGTGAGGAAAAAGGAAATGAACAAGCCGTCCAATCTAGCTTTGTTGTGGCGCTGAGCGCTCACTAGCTAAATGAGACGCTAAATTCTAAGGCTAATACATGCAAACATTCAGTGTTTTCTGCTGTGGCGATGTGTAGGGTTTAACCTAATATCCTTTGTTAGGAAATTCATGTCTTATTTTTCACCCAAACTGGTTTAATTAACCCCACATGCATAACAGAGGTAATTAAGAGTAACAGCTGTATGCTGTCAGGAAAGCCGTCCTCCTGTCTGCTGCTGCCCACAGAGACCCGTGTAGATCAATCCCACCTGCTCACCCACCACCCTCATTCACCCGGATCACAGAGACGGGACAATGCACATCTATCCAATTCATTTACAACAACTTCTCTGGAGAAGAGATGACAGGATTTTAATTTGTGGAGTGAGTACATTTTCTTTCTTTGTTTCCTCCTACCTTCACCAAAATGAAGTGAATGGGTGCCGTCAGAGTGAGAGTCTGAACAGCTGCTTAAAAACCATTACAATAATCCACAAGTCGTCCACACTACTCCAGCCCATCAATTAACATCTTGTGAAGCTTTTAAGAAACAAATCCATCCTTAAGGTGTTTTAACTTTAAACCATCGGTTCCAGGACTGTTCTTAATTGTGAACACTGGTGAAAGCAATATTATGGACAGAGGACTTTTATTTTAGAGTATTTTAGCTGACTGCAATGGTTTGAAGTGAAAAATGTCTAAAAATGATGAAATAGTTTCTTACAAATACAAAACTGTTCGCTTCACAAGACATTAATTGATGGACTGTTGTTAGTGTGTTCCTTCTTTAACGCCTTCATACCATTCCCCAAAGTCCTTCATCTTATTTCATTTCATCCATTCTTCCTTCACATCCTTTTCCTTCTACAGCACGTGTCTCCTGATAAAATGAGAACTTAAAATAACAACAGCTCATCACCCTGGAAAATTTCTCAGAACTTTGTAGACGAATTTGTCGAATTCGATTAAACCGATGCCCGACTTTTCTCCAATCATCTGTCTCTCAGCTGTGGTGTTGGTCCTCCCCCGAGTCTCACAGCTATCAAACTGCAGAGTTTTTTT